CCCACCCAGACCCTGCTAACCCCCCAGTCCTCCCAATCCCTTCCACAGACACTGCCTGCCCCCCAATCCTCCTAATCCATTCCATGCATTCCACTTGCCCCCCTCACTGCACCAGCTGCTACAGGTTGCTTGCATCCTTGATTTACCCAGCCCCTCTACTAGTCCCACCATCCCAACTTAGATCAGGTGGCCATTTTTAACTTGAACTAACCTCCCCAAATATCTGTATCCAGACTAAACTTTATTGCCCAACCTGCATTCATAAATGATCATTTTTCCCAGGACAGCCACCACATGGTTGCTTAGATTTAAACACTATTTACTAGTGACAGACCAAAGAAACTAAGTAGATCCACACAGATAAAATGTTGTTTGGATATGGGTGAAGGTATACAGCAAGAGAAAACTCCGTGTTGGGGATTTCTGAAGAATGAATGCCAGTTTGATGCACGGCTTCATTTATTGATTGCAAATTTATATAAGGCATCTGGATAGGATACCCTGTGACCTGGAAAAATATAATATTACAGTTATAGCTACAATTTGAAATGTTTATTCTGTAAACAAAACTACATCTTTATCCACAGTACCTTTGCAGTTAATTTGCATTTACATATAAAAATCAGTACCATGAATTGATTAGAGTTTGTAATAAAGAATGATAATTCCCTTATGAGTCCTTCACAGTCCATCTAGTTATTAGACAACTAATTTTTCAGTTATCAAATGTATTTTCTCTTTGAATAGTCCCTTCATTGTGAAGATTATATTGTACACATTTTTATCATATTACAAAGTTGTACTGTAAAAATTGTATTGTCTTAAGGAACTCCCTCAGGCAGCAGGCTGGACTAGATGACCTCTGGAGGTCCCTTCCAGCCCTACTTCTCTATGACTCTATAATTGAGAAATAAATTATTGTTCCTTTCTCGTATTTTTGTTGTTATAAAATCAGATGATACAATCCTACCCTCACTCCAGTCAATGAAAAGTTTGCTTTTGACTTCAGTTGGGCCAGAATTTCATCCAGAATGTTCCAGCTAGCTGTTTTATTTAGGTAAGTGAAAAATAACTTCATATCAATCAGAAGTTGAATGCCAAAATGAATGCTAATTTACATATATCTTGGTGTTTTATTCTTGTTTCAGGCAAATTTTAGGTATATAAATGCACCATTCTACATTTTTATATCATAATTTATTTCTATAAAAATACAGGGAAAAATTCTCAAACCACGTGTCTATTTATGTTGGATAAAACAGGCCATCTTCTGCCTGAGAGAAATTCACTCAGTGCAGACGCTGTGGAGACAGATGTAAGAGTATTCTAAAGACCCCCTGGCAATTTCTCACATAGTGGTAAGGAGCAGCATGATGGTGGTAGAACAATAGCGTGCAACACTGCAGCCAGTGCAGAATAGGGAAACTAAAGTGGCATTATACGCCTCTGCAGCCTCTGTAACAGCACAGAACTGTTTGGTAGGGCTGTGTGAAGCTTTGGTAGCTGATTCAATTTGGAGGACATTCGGCCCGATTCAGGGACCAAATCTCCAAATCTGAATTGAATTGGGAGTCCAAGTAAAAGCTCCGAATCGATTCGAAGCATCTGAGTCAATTCGGAAAAGCTTCAGAAAAGATTTGGACAAGTCAGAAACTCAGCCATAGACTAAACAGGTAGCTGACAGCTGCATCCAGATGGTAAGTCTGTTGGGGTTGGGGGAAGT